TACACACATTCTCCAGGTGGACCCCTTTGGGGCTAGTACCACATTGGATAACCACTCAACATGGATCACCGGACGAATGTGTTTTATTCTAAGCAAGGTGGCCATTTCTTATTTTGTAAAATCACGCCGTTCGGTCGCCTGGTATCTTTTCTTCTGCTGAACAGGCTTGGCATCAGATCGAATGGCCAACTTGTGGCAAATTATGTCCGGGTCAATACCTGGCATGTCTTCTGGCCCTCGGGCAAACAATACCTGAAACTTCTTTAGTACTGTTATTATAACCTCCCGAATTTCAGCCTCTAGATCCACCTCGATGGCCACCTTCCAGTCGGGGGGAGAATCCAGGTCAATTTGCTCGAGGAGGGTGGCAGGCTCAGGATGTGCCTCGAACTCCGTTCGGCGGGTTTCCACTTCAATGTTGTTAACCCGCATCCCTCGGGCATTCATGTTCTTCAAGGCCTCCCGATAGCACGTTCAGACTGTTGCTGAATCAGTTCTGGCCACCCCAACCCCAGTGTCCGTGGGGAATTTGATGCATGAGTGGCGGACAGAGGCTATGGCCTCCAGATCGTCCAATCCCGGTCGACCCAAAATGGCATTGTGGCACATTTTATATCCACTACCACGAACGTCATTCGGACCGATGCCCTGTGTGTTTCATCTCCAATTTCAACCATCAATTGGATGGTCCCCTCTGCTTCGATGCAATTCCCGGTGAAGCTTGCCAGTGGTGTCCTCAGGTGGGTCAGCTGACTTTTCTGGAGGCCCATTTTCTCGAACGATTGTAGGTACAATACGTTCACACTGCTTCCCGTGTCGACCAACACTCGGCGAATTAAGGCATCGTCTATGCACATACTTACAACCAACTCGTCCCTGTGTGGACTTGGTGAGTTCGACATATCTGCGGGCCCGAAGGTGATGGGGTCCGTTCTTCCTTTCTTCTGGGGCGGCATGGCTATAGAGCCCACGTGTAGGCTTCGCTCGAACCTCTTCCGTTCGGCGTTCGAGTCACCTGTCTCCCCACCCCCAAATATAACCTTCACCTCCATTCTGGGTTTCTTACCTGGGTTCCCCGAACCTTCTGGTTCATCTCTGGGAGGGTTATATACATCATTTCTGGGGCGAGCATCACGCTGTACATCTCGCCTCCAGCTGTTAGATCTCTTGACCGACTTCAGAATGCTTGTAGCATTCGGGTCCGTATTTACATATTTACCTAGATGACCCATCTGGATCAATTTCTCAATGGCTATTTGCAATGCCCGACAGGATTGGGTGGAGTGATCGTTCCTGTTGTGGTACTTGCAAAAAGCATTTCCATCTGCCCCCATATAACCTTTGGTGTCAGTCGGAGGGAGAATGTTGTCCCTCTCGTTCTGATAGATGGTTGCTACAGAAAGGACCAAAGGAGTGAATCGTTCTGCCCTTGGAGGATGAGAGGCCGCTGGGATAGGACCCAGCCGATCGGCCAGTTTCATTGGGGTATGAGGTGCAGCTACCTTATCCCTGATCAGGATTTCCTCTTCCAAAGCTGCATGCTTCCGAGATCTGTCCAGCACTTCGGAATACACCGTGCCCGGATTCTTTTTTAGATCTTTATACAATTCACCCATTCGGAGAGCATTAGTAAATAGGGTGATGGCTGTATCATCCGTCATATTTCCCACTTTCAAGGTCTCATCCCTCCATCTCTTCAGGAATTGACTTAGGGTCTCCTTCAGGCCCTGCCTGATACTGGTCAAGTAACTGAAGTGCCTCTTTGGAGTGGCACTGGAGGCAAATTGGGCCAGGAATAAAGTTGATAGTTCAGCAAAACTGCCGATCGATCCGGGCTGCAGGGTCCCAAACCATTCTTGGGCAGGCCCCCTGAGCGTGCTGAAGAAGAGTCAACAAATGGCCGCCTCCGATGCTCCCAATAGCATAAGACCCCCTTGATAACTCTTCAAGTGTCCGTGGGGATCTCCCGCCCCGTCATATATCTGACCGGTCGGCGGTTTGGCATCCCTATGGATCTCCGCTTGCATAATTTCCCGGGTGAAAGGGGAAGTGATTCTGGCCTGCGCTGGAGTAGATTGCAGAGGGGTTATGTTCATTTGTTCCCTCATTTCGTTCATCTGCCTCCTCATCTCGGCCATTTCTTCCTCCTGGGCCGTTAGGGGAGGTGGTGGTGGAGTTCCCAAGTTCACAAACTCCCGATTTCCTTCCGGCGGAGTTGTTCTCTGATTCTGACGTCTCTGCCCGAATTGCGTATTGTCACGCTGTCCATACTGAAACTGGCGACCAACGGGTGTATCTCCTCTAGTCTGTGACCCGGTCGAGGTGCGGTCACTAGGTGTGTGATGCCTGCCCCTGGTCGCATGAGCTCTTCCAGGTTCTCCCCGGTGGGCTCGTGAATGATTCGATGCCGTGGTTGTTTCTGCATCGGTAGTATCATCATCGAATGATGGGGTTGTATACCCAGTTTCCCCAGTGTATCTGGATTGTCCCCCATCCTGCTCATCCGCCATATGTTGCATGACCTGAGCCAAATCTCGCATGACATGGGGGTTCCTTCTTAATGCTTCGGGGATGAAAAAATCTCCATCAAAGTGTGGGTAGGATCCCCGACTGGATTGCCCTTGGGGGTCCGACTTTCCCCACGTCTACCCAAAGTTTCTCGGGTGTGATGAGAAGTAATTCTAACCATTTTGAAAATACCTTTTGTTTGGTGTGAAACTTTCTGTTCAGAGTTTCCCACAGACGACGCCAATGTTGAGGTTTAATCCCGTAGATCCGAAAGCTCAACACAAACTTTGGATATATCAGGAAATGGGACGATAAATCAGTGTATAAAAGAAATATAAAAGATGATATCAACGAACACTCAAAAGCCCACTTGTATTATGTAATTTGACTATTACACTGTAAACTACCCGAACGGTATGTCGGAATAGTAATTAATACAAGAAATCAAAGAGATAATGCTATTCTAGGCTTGAGTATCAAAATGCTAACCCTTTACAATGAATATAATCCTTCTATTTATACTAATGAGGTGTATGGGGTACTTCATGTTGATTGGTTGCTTTACCTAACCACTTGGAACTCATGCTCCCACTAGCTGCCGTCATACTTTAGCAATAAATGCCCCATGCCACTTGTCGGCTACCCGCTGCCCGAACGGGCAGTGGATCCTGCTGGAATCTTCGTTGATCTGGCATTACACTTGTTGACCCGAATCCCGTTCGGTTTTATTGATCTGGAATCATTATTGATCTGGCCCATTAATGATTTGGCCCAAGTATGTTAATGGATCCGAACCTCGTTCGGTACATATTTTCCCAAGAGCTGGTTCATTTTCTGGACGATGGACCCGCCTAACGGACTGGATATCTTGGGCCTTAGATCCGGGAATTGGGCCTGCGGCCCAATATCCGAACAAGATGTTTTGCATTTTCGTATAATTGCTTATATTTTTTTTCTTTGCAGTGATAGAACACTCAGAGCCAATGTAGTTCTTTATTACTCCATCCGCCCCCTATAATTGTCCCATTTTTCTATTTTTGGATGTCCCTTTATTATTATCCCATACCATATTTGGTAACATTTGTGTGGATCTAATTCATTCTTACTTTATTTGCACTTTATCAACTCATTACCAACCACATAATTCTACTTTTCTTAAAAACCACACCACTCCCTTCCGTACCAATATTAGGGGGACAGAGGGAGTATTATTTATGAAATATTTTAAAATTAAGAGCCATCTTTTGAAATTTTGACTCTGTTATAGAATCATATTTTCAGATTTTATTTAAATTTATCTTGTACCTTACTACCCGACCTAGTACCGGTTGATCGGTTTCGAATCTAGAATAAATAACCAACCAATTTCTATTCAATTCTGGAACCGGGACCATGTATAATTGTGACGAGTAGAAAATGATAAAAAGTGAACATAAATCTTTTTGGAAAGGAAGAAAAAATAAAGGGGAATTTGACTTTCCACATCACTTTTTGGGTGATATTTGACTTTGCACTCCATTTTCAAAAAACTTTGACTTTACACCTCATTCTACTTAAAAATCTTTTGACTTTTAACCCATCTAGAAATTTTTCTTCACAAAATATTATGTGTTGGTGTGCAAAATCAAAAAAAAATTCAAAATGGAGTGCAAAACTCAATACCACCCAAAAAGTGGGATGCAAAGTCAAATCCCCCCAAAAAATAAAAGAAATTGATGTAAATAAAATGAGTTAGAAGTTTATAGAATGGTTTTATATTTCTATGAGAAAGTTTAAATTCAATTAAATTTTTGAAGACTTTAAAAATCTATATGTAGTATAATTTTGAAGGGGAACATGAGACCGTTTGATCATATCCAAATCAGTTGTATTGGTTGATTCTGCTAAAATATATGAAGTTCTGACTGAAGTGGTTGGATTGATCGATTCTGCTAATTTATGAAAACATTATATTTCAAATATATTTTATTTATAAAGTAAAGAGAAAATTATATGAAACCTCAAAAATGAACCTCTACATAATTTCAGCTAATATATATAAAAAAAATAACTTCAACCATATTTTTTCTTATTATTACGCAAATCAATACACGATATGAAAAGCTACATATATACTCCGTATTTTTATTATATACTCTGTATTTAATAAAAAAATAGGTCGATAAACTTGGAAGGTAAAAAATATGGTCACCGAATGGACACCAAATCTACTCTCTATTTTAAACTTTTAAAAACCATGAATGGAAAGGTGGGTGTAGTCCAATGGATGATCATCCACCCCCAAGTCTCTCCTTCGTGGGAGGTTTTGGTTCAATTCCCACCAAGGGGAGATGATGGAGGTCTTGTTCTCAATGATTCTTCCTACCTTCACGGAGTTGCTCAGCGGTTGGATTCGTCCTTTGGAACCAGTACTAACGAGGCTGACTGTGATCAGATCCGGATTTAACTGTCTAGGGGCTTTGAAGGGGTTCATAGACTCCAGGATTATGAGAGCGTAAGCTCCGACACTTGGATTATCAAAAAAAAAATTAAAAACCATGAATATAATTCATGTGTGACTTTATCTCTGACTACTCTTGCGGTCTTGCCACCTCAATTTCCAACCCCACCATTCTTCTTGTTGTACCATAAAAACCCTAAATCTTCAAGATCAGCGGAACAAGGTAAGTTAATTCATGCCGTTTTGTTTGTTTTGATGTTTTCTCTAAGCGCTTTCCGAATATACTAACCGCGAAATCCAAAGAGTGTGTTCTGCGATTTTCGTTCAAGTATAAGTATATAAATCGAAGCATATGTAGATTTAAAGAAAGGGGTGCGAGCTTGCGGGGAGAAGATTTTGTGAAAATATGGAGGATTCTGAAGATGAAGGAAGGTACTCACATAAACCCAGTTCTGTCTACAGCCTTTCTTCTCGATCAAGACGCACAATTAGGAATCCTAGCTCTTATCCTAGAAATGGAAATTATAATAAGTACAAAAACGAATATGAATATGATGATACTGAAGACTCTGATGAAGGAGAAGATGATCCAGAGTTCAATGGAGCTGAGAATGGGTACGATATCAGGAACAAGAAGAAAAGAAAGATGGAATCTTTAGTATCAAATTATGAGTTCGCCCCTCGTACTGCGGGTAATTCGCAAGGACCTGCCATGCGAGGCAGCGGGAGTTCGAGGGGGTGGAGTGAGGAGGATAGTTTTATGCTGTTGGATGTGTGGGGCGAGAGATATTTAGAGTTGGGGAGGAGGAGCTTGAGAGGTGAGGATTGGGTGGATGTAGCCGAGAAGGTGTCAGAGATGATTGGGGTGGAAAAGGGTGAGATTGACTGTAGGAATCAGTTGGATGTGTTGAAGAAGAAGTACAAGAAGGAGAGGGAGAAGATGGAGAAAATGGGTGGTGCGTTTTCAAGCAAATGGTCTTTTTTCAAGAAAATGGATGTATTGATGAACTTGAGGATGAAAGGGCATTGTGGGTTAGGTTGTGGGGTTGATTCCGGGGAATATGTTTTTATGGACCCTCGGATGTACTTAGACAGGTCCAACGTGATGGATGAGATGAGGGACAGTCCTGTGGGGTCAGACATAGAAAACGAGGAAGGGAAAGAAGAGGTGGGAGGGGATGCAGGATGGGTAGAGGAAGATGAGGAATCTGCCAAGCTGTTAGCAGAGTCTATTCAAAGGTTTGGGGATATATATGAGAAGATTGAGAACAGCAAGAGGAAACAAATGATGGAATTGGAAGAGATGAGGTGGGATTTTCAGAGAGACTTGGAGATGCAAAAGAAGCGAATTGTTGAGAGGGCACAGGCTGAAATTGCAAAAATAAGGGATTCAGATTGTAGCAGCGGGGATGATGGTGATGGTGAGGATGATGGTGATGACAACCACAAGAATGATTACGATGATGATGAGGATGATGATGATGGTAATGATGATGATGATGATGAGGAGGAGGAGGAGGATAATGTTTCAACTGAGAAGCTGAATGGGTGATGCAGGTAACTTCATATTTGGTTATGAATGTTTACTGTAGACCTTTAAAGTATTGAATATGCTCATGTGAAAAGATACATCATTCTCTTGTGTGTTGTGGCATATGTTCTTTCAAGTCTCTGTTTGTAGTATTTAGAGTTAATTGTTCATATAATAAGACAAACTATGATCTCTGTTGTTAAAATCAAAATCCACATTGAGGCATTGCATTAATAAGTGCTAGGCCCCATGATAGGAATCTTGCTCAATCCCTTTATTGTCTGATTTTCGTGTTGCATATATAGTGCAGGATAGTTTTTTTTAGTTGCTAATGAAAAGTGGAACTTTCCTAGTTTTCTTTTCATGCATGTTTTCACATGTTTTCTGAAAGTGTTGAGCATAGTATTGCATGTTTTGTGTACGTATCATTTGGTATTTATCATTAAATATAAGTGAATACACAGATTTTGGTCCTCACCAAAATAGATAAGTTTTGGGGGGAAGGATGACACCTCTGAGGGCCCGAAACTGGCCAGACTGTTATGTGGAAGGATGTAAATTGAGCTTTGATTACAGACTAGTAGAGAGGGTGGGGTTCCAGCCTAGGTCTTAGTGAGTGGGTTGGGTTTTTACGGTATGGATCAATCTTAGTTTATGTCAGTGGTAATTTCTTTGAAGGCTTATCAGGGATGTACCCATAAGGCTTATCAGGGATGTACCCATTGATAACTTGTTCAACTACTTTGTTCTTAAGTTTGGAGATTAAGTAGTGATGCCAAAATATGAAATGAATAACTGTAAACATACGCTGTATTTAAAGTTGTTGGGTTTGTGTGTGTATAATGAGTTTGAACAAATTGTTCAAAATTGATTTATTGGCCTCCAAAACTTTCAGCGCTTTCAAGTCTTAAAGCAGCAGAAATTTTGAAGCTGATTCCCCCACCCTAACATTAATTAGTCATATTCCTAAATCTGTGAGAGCTTTAGTCATCACTTTATTTAGGGAGTGTTTGCGAATGCTTGTGCTTCTCAAAAGTGATTTTTTTAGAGATTGTTGAAAAAGTGATTTCAGAGAGGACGACATTGCATGGCAGACGGCGATTCGACCCCAACGACAGCTTTGTGCTGACACCGTCATATCCCTTGCCGGAAGAGCGTAGCGGCTGCCTTAGAAGAGCTCGTTTCTCGCCTTCTTGACCAGATTTTGTAGGAGGAGGGGAGTCTACAGTTGCGTGACTTGCGTCGGGGCCAGCCGTAGAAGAGCTCGTTTCTCTGGTCCTTACTGATTTCTTCTTCTACGCTCATTTTTTTCTTCTATTCTTCTATGTCTCCTCCTTGATTCATTAGCAGATGCTTGGTCAGATCCCCAACCCTTTAGTAATGTAACTATCTGGATGGAGAAATCCGATGGAGAAATGGAAAGCTAGAGAAGAAAGATGGATCAGGTTGTTGATGTGCAGGACGGTAATTTAGGATATTAACCCTGAGTTTATGGATAAACTTTATCCTCAATGTTTGAAATATTTACCAAATAACCTAGAAGCAGGTAAAAGCATCACCAAGGCTGCTTCGAACTTTTGACTTAAAAGTGCTTAAATTAAGGCGACTTCTTCATTTTCAAACACCCATTTTAGCTTATTCTAATAAAAAAAAAGCTGAGAAGTGCTCTTGAGTAGTGTTTGCAAAGAGACTTTTAAATTGCTTTCCCTCCTTATGATGGCTTGCCCTACTAACTTCATCCCCACTGCTAGATCTATAGCCCCTTCACTCTCTTCATTATCGTTTATGAAAGGAAAGGCCTCATTATTTTTATCATATGGATAATTAAAGCAATGTTTGGTTTTTCTGTTCGTAAAAAGTGTTTATGTTGTTTAAGAACACCTAGTGTAAATCTTACATTTTTTCACCTTTCATCTCTGCATCAAGTTCAATCCAACTGTGGGCTGATTTTTCTTTATGTTGTGCAGCTTGAAGTTGGAACTTGGAAGAAGCCAGTTGGAGAGTCACACACATTCGTTCTTCAACAACTTCTTTTGTACGTTATGCAACTAATGGACAAATCATAACGAGTACTACATAAATTGGATTTTGTTGGTGGATTCACATTATTGTGACGGATGAAGTTCATCGTAGTTTAAGTGCCCATTTTCGTAGCTTGCCATAATGGTATTTCTACTTGCCAGAGAATATTTTTACCGAACACCAACTTAATTGATGCCTTTATTGAATCCGCTAGTAATAAGAAAACCAGTAGGCGACAATGGACTTTTTTTTTTTTGAAAGAATGACGCTTATATTATCAATGGGATTCGTAAAGAAAAAAAGGTGAGTCCTTAATCCTTATGCATTTTTCCACAAATGTGATCATTCTTTCCTACCCGCATCTCTCCTATTGTTTCTTCCTCCCCAGCGTTCTTCCATCTCCCACCACAACTTTTCTGTTTCTCTTCGACAAATGCTCACAGACGATGGCTCCATGAGCGAATACAGCTCCATGGCGGAGGAAAATAAACAATTATAGTCTCATCTACTTCCACGCCGCTTCTCTCTTCTTTGACTGAAAAACACCGATGATGACAATGGAAGCGGAAGAGGCATCTAGATTTCCCAATTGGCGGTGGTGGGGGCTATGTTTTCACTTCTAGATCTCCTAAAATTCCACTGCCATTGCGATTGCTAGACTTTCATATCTACAACAGCAGTTAGGGTTGCGTAGGGATGGCGACTAGGATTTCGTAGTAATTTTCAATGATATCTTCCTCTTCAAGTTTGGGGGTCTGTGTTAGGCTCACTATTTGGATTGATTTCATTTCACACGGTGGTTTTGCCATTGTTGGGGATATTGATAGAGGTTGGGAAGGAGGCAATAGTTGGTTTTCCGGTGGGCCAGCTGCACTATTTGGACAGTGGTGTTTGGGGTGATACGGTGAAGCATGAGAGTGGTTGGGTTATAGACTTACAGTGACACAATATACGGTGGTGTTGTCATTGAGCGGTGTGGACCAGGGGCAATGAAGTAAACATGGGTGTTGGGGGGTGGGGGCAACCTAGGGGCAATAGGTGGTGTCACTCGGCAAGTCTCCAGTGTCGGTTGGGCAGCAACGATGGGCAGTGACGGGTTGAAGATTAGGTCACTCGGATAGTGATGTAGTTGTCATTGGTCGGGTAGTCACTGGCGGTGACTGAGTGGTCATTGGCGGTAGGTCATTGGAGCAGCAGGTCACTGAGACATTAGTAACTGAAACGGTAGTCACTGGAATCGTGGTCACTGGAGCAGTAGTAATGAGGATGGTGGTCACTAAAACGGTACTAGTAACTCGGACAGTGGTCACTTAAACGGTAGTAGTAACTGGAATGGTGTTCACTGAAGCGATAATAACTGGGACAACGATCACTAGATCAGTTGTAACTGGGATGGTGTCACTGGAGCGGTAGTAATAACTGGAATGGTGGTCAACTTGAGTGATAGTAGTAACTGAGAGGATAGTCACTAGAGCATTAGTAACTGAGACCGTTTGTTACATAATTTTCATATTCGAATATTTATCTTCATAAATAATATTAAAATAAAAAAAAGAATTAATTGATATAGAATGCATTATTACGGAGAGCATTGTTACGCCCATTAAGGAGTGCGTTATTAGTTTTTACGGTCCTGAAAAGAAAGCTAGGAAGGGTTATTTTGTAAAGTGTGTTTATTAGTCATATTTTTGGAACTTAAGAAAAAAGGTCTCTTTTTTGTCCATTACCTATTTTTTAGTAATATTTGTGTCAAAACCCCTTTTTTTTTACAGTGGATCGGGAATCTCAATATGTAAAAATGTTGTAATTGTTTGTGTCAAGGAAATTTTCATTTTTTATAAGACTGGTAAAAATGCTCTAATTGTTTGTATCGAGAACTCATATGTATCTTACATCACAGGGGGGAAGAATATGCATTTCAGAAAAGTTGAAATTTGTTTTAGGAGAAATATCAAATTGGGAACTATGATTGCACGTGAATTTCATAACGCTAAGTCGCTAATGTTTCAAATGATTCAAATTGGACTGAAATTGGAGTGTTGTTAATGGTTATATATAAATCTTATATGGTGAAATTGACACCAATAATCCGTACTTTTACTGGTTTTACAATAATAATTCCAACCAAATGAATTGATACAATTAATCCAAACAGGTAAACACTTTCACATAAATAGATAAAATGAAACGGAATTAACTTTTCCGTTTCATACCGCTTAATCCCATCCACCTCGCACACTAACCCTTTTCTTCTGCTAATGCCGCCTTCCCCTCCCCCATCATTTACACTTCAAAGTATTTGATTTTTCTTCCTCCAGCTCTCATCAACTGCCTCACGCACTCTTTCTCTCGTCACCGGACTGGTTTTTCTCATTTAAACACCACACTTTGCTGCTAATCTTGGAACTACCCGCCAGGCTCGATTAAGAAGAGAAAATGGAAGATAGGGTCGAGTATTTGGTGGCGAAGTAGCATACCAGAAACAGCTACTTGGGATTCTTTGGATTATCAGGTCACCTGACCACACAATCTTCTCACCTTTCGATTTCTTCGCTAATTGTTTCCTGCTCATAAAGTTTTGCCCTAATTTACTTATTTCTTCCATGAAATCCTAAGTCCGAATTTTCTTCTTCAAAATGACCTATTGTAATTCTAACGAAGCCCAGTCAACTGTTACTCCATCATAAAAAAGCATATCAAAAATACTTGTGAAATGCGACCATGGCATGGTTTCAGCTTTGAAGACAGTGGCATTTGGGCCAAACAAGGGGAAAAAATTCTGTGGTTGTCCTTTCTGGCAGGTTTAATTCATAGAAAAATATGAATAAATGCTTTTTTGTATTAGATTTTGACATTGGTGTAATGTATTTGTAATTTGCAGAGTGACAATTGTAATTTCTTTTTGTGGGAGCATGATTCAAAGAAGATGGAGAGTAGTGTGTCAATGGATGCAGAAAAGCTGTCACTTTTGGATGAGAATGAAAAGCTTAGAAAAGAGTTGGAAGCAATGAAACTTGAGAACAAATTTTTGTTGGAAAAAATATGTAAGCTCAGAATGAAAAAAAAATGTTAAAGGCTGATAGAAGGGAGGCAAATGCAGGGAAAAAGGCTATGTTTGATGTTGTTTTATCTTGGATTGTCATTGCTATTGTGGTATCCATTTTAGTTGGTAGGATGTAAGAATGATAGCAGTGTTGTATGCTTTATGATTGTACTATCCATTTAGGCCAATTTGGTTGGATTGTGTAATAAGTTTGTTCTTATGTTATACTATTTTGTTTGAAGTTGTAATGTTTATATTGCAGTCCAGATTTAATGGGAATGTGATATATTTTAAAATTGCAGCAAGTTTATTTGTAATGATGGCAGATTGCTACACATCATATCCATATATGCATTGCACTTGGAAACAACAAATTAGTCACACGTTGGGTTTTCTGTTTCCATTGCACCGCACTTTGATATTGTAATGTATTACTGTATACTAAAATGTTCACGTTTTAATAAAACCAAACTAAAATGAATGAAGTGGTGGAATCTAGTAAAGAAGCCAAAGTTGTGGGTGAAAGAAGTGAGTAATGTCAAACCATATGTGATATGTGCAGATTCGAATTCAAAGGGCTAGGGAAAGATGGCTAGCTAGCTGCTCTATTTTGGTTTCTTCCATTTCAATGGATCTGCTCTCAGTCCATAGTTTAAAGTGGCTTTAAGTCTTATCCACCAAAAAGAGACATCATTTCTAGTATTCTATAGCTTCATGATACAAGCAGTGAGCTTCCCATGAGAAATAAAGAACTTGTCCACAACATGGATATAAACTGAATTCCATATTCATTCCAAAATATATAAACATCATCCAAGAATTCTTTCATACAATAATAACAGCAATACAAACTGCAGTCCATCCCCAAAAGGCCAAATAATATAAACATCATCCAAGAATTCATTCATCCAATAACATACTCCAAAAAATATAGTTAGAAATGGTCAATATCTGCAAAACCAGCAATTTTCTAACCAAAGTACACAAAAAAGAACTACTACATGATCCACAATATCAAAACACTGCCTTCATGTTCCAGTTGCGCGGTTGCGCCCGTAGAAGCATTAATGCTTTCATTTTGTCTCGACAGAGGTGACAGGCTCTCAGGGAAGGACACTTCAGATACATTCATGGGATTAGTCATTGTCTGCAAAATCAAAGTATAGCCAAAATATATAAAAACATACGAATAAGACTTACTAAAAAAGTCATCTAAATTATTATCACAAAACTACTAAAAAACATTAGCACACATACATTAATATACTGATTTCCATCTGCAGAGTTATAGTAAATGCCAAATCCAGCTGGAATCTGCATGTATTTAGTTTTAAGATTAAATAAAATTTTAAAATGATTTAGATAAATTAAATAGCTTACATATGTGCTCCCTCTCACTTTGTTTCTGCCTTCAACCGCTTGTATTCCTCTTCCCCTTCTTTGCCTATTCCCACCCCTACCTCTATTAGAAGGTTGGGCCACAACTGAATGGTGATTTGTATTTGAAACTTGATCATCAATATTCATCTTTCTTGGCCTCCCTCTAGGTCTCTTAGTAATGGCTTGTGAGAGTTGTTCAGGGATGCTTTTGCACTTCTTTTTTGTGTGCCCTTTTAACTTACAAATACTACAATGCATCTCTCTACCATGCCTAGTTAGTTTCCCAGCTTTTTTAGGATCCTCATAAGGATCTCTTTTTCTCTTTTTTTGTGGTCTGCCAGGGCCTTTTTTAATGGGAGGGCCTTTTTTAGAACATGTCTTACTTGGAATTGTGTCATTGTCGAAGGGGTTGGATAACAGTTAATGCTTTCATCTTTTGACTTTTCCAGTTTCGCAGCAATCCTAGGACAGATTTCATGATCATTTGCTTCCATCCATTGCCTTTTTACCACGAATCTTTCCATTAAAGCAGTTTGTATATCCTCTAACATGTAGATAATATGTTTAGATCTTGTTTCAATAATGTAACCATTGAAAGTTTCCTTCCCCCCTACATATTCAGGAATCAGGATCTAAACAGCCACCAAAAATCCAATTTATCAGGATCTATATTCATTGCGATTGTTTCCTTCCCCCTACATATTGTGCTTGCGGTGTTTTGTTTAAATACCTTCCATAATGATAGTTCAGATTGAACAACTCCATTCCTGCAGAACAATTGTATAAAGAAGATGAATGTCTTGGTTAAACCTCTACTTAGAATGAAATACCTATTGTATGATTTTTTTGGGGAATTTAAAATCCTAAGTGCATATAGTAAAGACTATATTTCCACATGAGAATCTGCCAACACGTAGATTTAGTTATTAATTACATCAATAGCAAACACAAACTCAACAACCAATCTTTCTCAAAATGAGAAGTCATCACTGTGAGAATAATGGGAAAGGTTGCTCCCTAAGGAGCCGTGACAGATATATTTATATTAAAGAGAGTTTAATGTAAAGTACAATACTAAGCCTCTAATAATTCTATTACACCCCCTCAAATTGTGCGGGAGATACAACGTGCAGGCTGTCTTTCAAAAAATGAAAACGTTGACTAGAGAGACTTTTAGTAAAAATATTTGCCAGCCGTAGATGAGTAGGAACATGCTTAACAATCAGATCTCCATGAGCAACCCGTTCGCGAACAAAATGATAATCAATCTGAATATGTTTACTGCGAGCATGCTGAACTGGATTTGCAGTCAAGTAAGAAGCAGATATATTATCACATAATAAATGTACCGCCTCTGAGATAGGCCATCCAAGTTCGAACAGTACCGATCGGATATATAGTGTGTCTTGTACTATGTAAGCAATGGCACGATATTCCGCTTCTGTGGAGGACTTGGACACAGTAGGCTACTTCTTAGTCTTCCAGGAAACCAAATTAGGACCCAAAAATACAGCAAAACCTGTGGTGGACCGAGAACTATCAGGACAACCTGCCCAATCTGCATCGGAGTAAGCAACTACACAGGTTGGCCGATTGCACTGCTGAAGCCAGAGACCATGATCTCGTGTTCCTTGCGAGTACCTGAAAATTCTCTTGACTGCAAAAAGATGAGTGGTACGAGGAGCATGCATGAACTGAGACACTAAGTGTACTGCATAAGTAATATCTGGCCGTGTCAAAGTTAAATATTGTAATGCACCAATCATGCTGCGATACTCAGTAGAATCAGACAATAACTCACCATCAGAAAGAGACAGAGTGGTACGAGAAGCTAACGGGGTGCGAACAGGCTTTACAGTATGAAGATGAAAACGAGCTAGAAGATTAGTAACATATTTATGTTGAGAGAGAAACATACCGTTAGCTGAATGAATAGCCTCGACACCCAGAAAATAATGGAGATTACCCAAGTCTTTCATAGCAAAATGTTTAGAGATAATTGAAATAAATTGGGTAACAGAGGACTCAGAATTGCCAGTAATAATAATATCATCCACATATAGTAATAAATAAATAATAGTATTATTCTGGCGGTAAATGAACAAAGAATTGTCAGATTTGCTATATGAAAAATTATGTTGTAGAAGAAAGCTACTAAATCTATGAAACCAGGCCCGTGGAGCTTGCTTAAGGCCATAAATGGCCTTGCGCAGACGACATATATGATTAGGAAATTGAGGGTGAATAAAACCACGGGGCTGCCGCATATAGACTTCTTCTGTCAGATTACCATGTAAGAAGGCATTTTTAACATCAAGTTGTCATATACCCCACCCAAAAGAGATAGCTAGAGTAAGTACAATACGAACAGTGGTGGGTTTTACGACAGGACTAAAAGTTTCAGAGAAATCAATACCTGCATGCTGATTAAAACCCTGTGCAACTAATCGAGCTTTATGGCGCTCTAAGGATCCATCAGAATGATATTTAGTTTTATAAATCCACTTACATCCAACAATATTCTTAGAGTTATCAAAGGGCACCAAGTCCCACGTATTATTATTAATGAGTGCATTAAATTCATCAGCCATCGCCTCACGCCATTTTAATTGTTTATTTGCCTCAGTAAAACAGGTAGGATCTGCAGAGGTAATAATCGTACTTAAATTAAAAATGGTTTTAGGCTTAAAAATTCATGGCTTAGCACGACTTTGCATAGGATGGTGGTTAACTACCGTAGTGGACATAGGTGAGGTGGTTTCGGGTGAGACATTGTCGGCTAAGGCTGTTTCTGGCGTGCTGGACGAAGTATGGGAGGAGACAGGTGATGGTGGCGGGCTGGTTGTGGACGTGGGGAAGGATGTATGGGGCGATGGTACAAACGGAGTGGTAGGAGTGAGGGGTGACCGAGGTGGCGATGGGGGGTGGTGGTGGTGCGGCCGTGATTGTGGGAACAGACTCGGTGGGTGGGTCAAGAGTAATATCGGTGAGATTCATAGGAGATGGTGTAATAGAAATAGAATGGGATGGAGCAGACGAGAGGGTTTTAAAAGGATATGTGTCCTCATTAAACCTAACATGACGGCTAACATAGACTCGACCTGTGATAAGATCCAAACAACGATAGCCTTTATAACCAGATGCATAGCCAAGAAAAACACACTGAACTGAACGAGGTGATAATTTATTAGCTGAGGTGGCTGAAAAATTTGGATAACAGGCACAACCAAATACTCGCATAAAGGAGTAATCCGGAACACGGTTAAAAAGTTTTTGATACGGAGAAAAGCCATTTAAGGTAGGAGAGGGTAATCTATTAATAATATATGCAGCAGTGAATATGGCATCGACCCAATAGTGACTCGGAACCGAAGCTTCAAGAAGCATGGTCCGAGTTAACTCAAGTAAATGACGATGCTTACGCTCAGCAACCCCATTTTGTTGAGGTGTTTCAGGACAAGATTTTTGTCGGGTAAGCCTGCTGCCCGACCGGGTGCGTGGATCCTGAATGCGGTTGGGTCGGTTGCTGCCCAGACGACTGCCTTGGAGAAGAAACAGCCGCGCCAAACGCCTGATGAAGGGACTGGGACTCCTGGGAGCGGAGATAAAGGACCCGCTGCTCTAATTCAAGAAGATGATTACGGAGAGTCTCAAACGGGAAATTTTGTCCAAATAATGACACAGCAGTGAATAAAGATTCATACTCAGGTCCTAGTCCCATAATAGTAGTTTTTAAAATTTCACGCTGAGGCACAGGACAATTGATTGTGGCAAGATCATCAACTAATGTTCTAATTTCTCGCAAATAATTATCCATGGACTGATCAGGTTTCTTTTTAATTTGATTAAATAAACGCTTTAATTCCATAGATCTCGCTAAACTGGCAGACATAAACTGAGACTCCAACCGCTCCCAAATTTCATATGAATGTTTTAAATCACGTACATCAATATGAACATCCCTAGATAGGGTTGCAAATAACGATGAACGGATGGTTTGATCAATTCTCAACCAAGTAGAAAATTCAGGATTGGGAGTTTGACGGTTAAGAGCATCTATGGAATAAGCAGGGGGTACCTGAATGGAGCCATCAACCATGCCCAATAGAGCTTGTGAAACTAGAAACGATTTGAATTGTGTCCTCCAAGTGGTGTAGTTTTCTACCGCCGAAAGTTTAGTAGTCACAATATTTGTAACATTGGTGGCCACATGAGATATGGTTTGAGCCAGATCAGAAAGTAAGGATCCGACCGGGCCGCCTGCTGGTGTGCGAGCGGGAGGAACAAGGGAGGAGATACCAGGCGAGCCGACGAGCGTAGGGCCGGCAAAGCCAGTTCCGGCGAGTGGGGGTGGTTCGAGCGGAACAGCCTGCACCGGAGTAGGGGCTGACCATGGAAACGCCGGTGGGAAATTTTGAAAAAGGGGATATGGCATAGAGGCCCGACTTGGAGACGCAAAATTGGAGGAGAAGGTCACGCCAGAGGAGAAGGAACTGTTCGCCGGTAGCGATCCGAAGAATGAGGGAGCGCCGGACGAGACAGTGGTGCTGACCGAACCTGACGGAAGAGAAGTTGGTTGGCTGAGAGCTGCAGAAACTTTCGACGTCGGAGCTGCCATGGTGTGCGTCGCGGCGGAAGAGGGCAGAATTGTTGTAGGCGGCGGCGGTTCTAGGGTATTGCACGCGGCGCCGGAAAATTTTTTAGAGAGAGGATCGGAAAAGAAATTAATGTGCTCTTGATACCATATGAGAATAATGGGAAAGGTCGCTCCCTAAGGATTAAAATAATAACCTGATAATCCCAAGAATCCCAAGGAGATGTTTCTGGTATGCTACTTCGCCACCAAATACTCCACCCGCTCTTCAATTTTCTCTTCTTAATGGAGCCTGGTCGGGTAGTTTCAAGATTAGCAGCGAAGTGTGGTGTTTAGATGAGAAAAAACAGTACGGTGAGGAGAGAAAGAGTGCGTGAGGCAGTTGATGAGAGCGGGAGGAAGAAAAACCAAATACATTGAAGAATAAATGAGCGGGGAGGGGGAGACGGCATTAGCAGAAGAAAGGAGTTGTGTGCGAGGTGGATGTGGATTAAGCGGTATGAAACGGAAACTTTAATTCCGTTTCATTTTATCTATTTATGTGAATGTGTTTACTTGTTTGGATTAATTGTATCAATTCATTTAGTTGGGATTAATATTGTAAAATCAGTGGAAGTACGGATTATTGGTGTCAATTTCACCATCTTATATTGGACATCAATGTTTTAAATGGATGAGATGGGCACAATTTGAATGTATTTTTTGTCCTTTTTAGATGACACCAACCAAGATTG